TTTAAAATTGCCTTAACAATGAAACCACTTTCTTAAATGATGGAAATGGAATACAAAAATTATGAAAAGAGAAAATTAATGTCTATTCCATCACCTACTAAATAAATCAAATGATTCAATGGTTTGATTAGCTAGGTCATCATGTTGTTGGCCAAGTCAATGGTTTTTTTTTTTACAGACAAGCAATTTGGTGGAAAATGAACCTAAAATCCACGTCAAGTAACAATTCTATTAGTCTAAACGGTCTCTAGGCAAACAATAGTCCAATTAACACAATAAATTGAAAATATTGATATAAGCTATAGAGTAAGAATATTTGATACAAGTTTTTAGGTTGAAAGGCAATAAATCACCAACATATATACAATTGTTGTTGTTGTTGTTGTTATCGTTTGAAATTGTTACGTGCAAAGCACGTACACATCTACTAGTTTCTCAAAAAGTTTGTATTGATAAACCCCAAATGTTTATAGTAGAAACAGCAATGATACTAAACATAATCCAAGAGAACTAGAGATTTCAAATGCTTACCACATAAAGCATGGTTCCAAAATTAGGATCTTCTTAATTCCACAACTTAGTTTTAAGCATGAGAAATTCATTAAAATATCACCAAACAAATAATTTAAATATGAGAGCAATTAGCTTAAGATTCCAAATCCTTAAAAATTGAAATGATTCTTTTAAGATGAGGAGGTTTATTGCAGGAGAGTGACAAACTAACAAATATGCACTTTTAACTAAAAAGATGCCTCCAAGCTAGGGGTGAGCATGGGATGGTTCAATTCCATGGCAGAGCATGGAATCTACCCTATAGGGATCGGATCCAAGTTTTTGGAGCCTGAACCTACCCTATAAAGGTTGGTTCTAAGGTCGGTTTGGCCTTGGTGGTTCTGAGGTCGGTTCTAGGGTCTACCCATAGAACTTGTACTTTCTTCACTCTCCCCCTTTACCAAAAAAAAAGTTCTTTATAAACTTGATTTTTAATAAATATAATATATAGTTTAAAACTTATATTATCTTTATTGATTAAATTGGATAACTTAATATGGAGTTTATCATTATATGGTTAACACTTGAAAGTTAAATTTAAATTTTGTAAGTACTACCTTTTGCACTACTTATTGTACACATTCAAATATTAAAATGAAAACAAATGATCAAATCATTTAAGCAACTTACACATTCAAATATCAAAATGAAAACAAATGATCAAATCATTTAAGCAACTTAATGGTCAAGTGAGACCGTGGCCTTTGTAACAATGAATGTTTGGGCTCAAATCTTCACATCCCCAAAAGTATTCTAGGGTTTATTTCAAGGCAAGTTCCAACAAGGTCAGTTCCACCAAGGCTAACCAAGGGTTGTTCATTGGGTTGGTTCAGGTAGGGTAAACCCCTAGACCCTAGAATTGGCCCGGGTGGGGGTCGGTTCCAAGAATTTGGAACTAAACCCTACCCTGTAACAGATTGGCTAGGATCGGTTTAATGCTGGTTTGAGGTTGGTTCCATTTGGTTATGAGTAGAACCTACCCATTTGTTCACCCTTACTCCAAGCTAATTTAAAAAGTAAGGCAAGGTTAAAATCAGATGCTTTCTTGATTCCTAAACCACCTTTTGTTTTAGATAGACAGAGTATATCCTACCAATACCATTTAACCTTTGAGCATTATGAATCACCAGAAGACCATACAAAAAAAATTCTCTGAATTTTATCAATCTCTATAGTCACCTTAACAGGTGATTTAAAAAAGACATACAGTGGATGGGAATAGCCTAAATGATCAACTTAATTAACACCAGTTTACTTGCAAAGGACAAAGAACTTAACTTCCATTTACTCAACTCACTCTTGAGGTTATCAAGAATATATTGAAGAGAATGAACTTTGTTTCTTCCAAATTGCACAAATATTCCTAAGTACTTTGAATCCTTAGGTAGAGGCTTGATTCTCAACTAAATTCAAATCAAACCCTAGGGCTATGTTTGGTTCACTGCTTTGGGCCTCATTCTTTTAAGAATGAATAACATTAGAGTGTTTGGTTACAAAATTCTTGCCATGGGCCACATTTTTTTTAGAATGAAAAATCAACCCATAGCACAAAAATTGAGGTAGCCTGGAGCATGAAAAATAATCATACCCCATCTTGCTCATTTTCATTTTTTGAGGAAAACTTGCCTATAAAACTGTTGCCATAAATGTTTGCTAGCGCACTACCATGGAAGTACTTTTACGAAAATACTTTTATAAAAGTACTTTTATACAAAAGTACTTTAATAAAATCACTTTTACAAAAGTATTTTTATAAAAGCACTTTAATGAAAATATATTTATAATAGCACTTTTACAAAATCACTTTTATGAAAGTACTTTTATCAAAGTATTTTTATAAAAGCACTTCTACAAAAGTACTTTTACGTAGGACACTTGTCAAGTTGAAAAGAATTCATTTTTAGGAAAAAAGTGTTTGGTTCATAGCAATATTTTCTTATTCTGCCTATTTTTACCCATTCTTATCCATTTTAAAATTTCATCTTGGGTAAGATTGAGAAAAAATGAAAATTGTACCAAGCATGGCTTAGATTTATCAAAATTAATTTGTTTTCTAAACATCAATTGAAATTTATCCAAGAATACCTTGAGGTTAGCTATCTCATCTCTATGAGCATGAATGTATATCATGAAATCACCACCAAAGAAAAAGATGAGAAATAAATGGAGCTTGTTGAGCTACTGTCCAATAATCAATTTGCTTGCTATCTGATTAAGCTCGTAAAAGTAATCTACACAGGTCTTTAATCGATAGCTAAATTGAACAAATACGGGGATTAGGAGTCGTCACCTTGTTAAATACATGTAGAAAGACAAAAATGGCCTTAAGAAGAACTATTAAAAGGAATGGAGTAAATACCAAATGATACACACTGAATGGTCATTGTACATCGATTTTCATCAAACCTTACGGTTTTTAAATTTTCAACAAGATATAATTATTCTAATTGATCGTAAGCTTTTGACATATTTAATTTAAGAGCCAAAAATCCAAATCCCATTCATGATTAAGAATGATAATGATAATTAGCTTCTTCGGGGAAAAGCAACTTGTTGAGAGGGAGTCCGCGTTCTCTGCACTGATGGGTGCACTAGACGAGTGACGAGTGCACCCACCAATCTTGTTCGGCCACATCGTCCATCCTAACGTTAAGGGTAAAATGCACGTTAACCTGGGTTAGGCGGTTCAAGCGAGCACAAACCGACCACAACATGACCCAGAGTGATCAAAAGCCCCCCAATCCTCCTCATTCTGCGAATTTTTACCACTGGATGTTTTCCTCCTTCCACCAAACCCAACCCTCCCTCTACAGACCCATTCTCGTCGTTCCAACAAAGACCAAAATTTGGTATTCCATCAATGAGTTTGAGTTTTTTGTATCAGAAGTTCTCTGATTTTCTTCCGCCTAAGCTAAGGTAAGTTGTTTCTTTTCTTTCATTCTTTCTTTGTTTCTTTTGTATTTTTCTTTCCTTCTTTCATTCTCATTTCATGTCGTCATTTTCCGGTCATATTCCTGCGTTGAGTGGTCGTTGGCTTCCGGCTTCTACCGTTAAGAAAATATTGATACTAACCCCTTTCTCAGACTCAAACTTTGCTTTGAAACCGCCATTTTCTTAAACTTAGTTGAAGAAGAAGAGAAGAAAAAGAGAAGAGGCCAGAACTACCTACCGCCAGTAGGGTGTCCACGAAAAAACTAAAAAAATTGAACCGAATCGAAAAAATGTGGTTAACCAATGGTTTGATATTTTTGAAAAAACAAAGGACTGGTTTGGTTTTTAGTTACTCTACCAAAAAAACCGACGGTAATCGAAATATATATATATATTAAATATATGTCACATATTTTCTATATATTATATATAAATATATATGCATTATATATATATATTATATTTATAATGATCTATTTATAAATATATTATATATTTTTATAATATTTATAATATATTAAATATCATTTATTATTTATAATATAATACTATACATATATTTATATAATATATATTATATATTATAAATATAAAAAACCAAAAAACTGAATCAGTCAAAAACCAAAACCGACAGACTGATTAACTAGTAATACCGATTTAATTTCGGTTTGAAGAAATTGAAAAACGGCAATTTACAAAAATTTTGCATGGTTCTATTAACCAAACTGTGGACACCCGTAACCGTCAGAGCTCTCTTTGTCATTGTCGATGGCCGTCAGAGCTCTCTTTGTCGTCGTCGATGGAGGGAGGGTTTGGTGTGTGGCTAGGGTTCGATGGAAGGAGAAAAACATCCAGCGGAAATAAGTTTGCAGAATGAAGGTTGGGGGACTTTTAATTACTCGAGGTCATGTTGTAACCGGTTCGTGCCCGATTGACCCGCTGAACCTGGATTAACGTACATTTTACCGTTAACGTTAGGATGGACAACATGGCCGAACGTGATTGGCGGGTGCTCTTGTCCGGTGCACCTGCGGGGTATAGAACGCGGACTCGTTGAGAGTACAATAATATTACTCTTGTATCCTATCTTTTGACTCCCATTAGACCTATTTATTTTGATAATTTTTTTAATAAATAAAGTATATAAAATATTATAATTTTATGAGATTAAAAACACTAAAAATTTTATAAAGGTAGAATATTTATGTTACGATATGTCGGGATTTATATCGATACTTTGATATGCAATATCTGGTTGTAACTTGTAATTCCAATTCTATTTGAATACGAATATAAACCAATCTGGATATTCGATTCGATCCGTTTGCCGCCCTATGATATCAATAGAAACTAGAAAGTTGAACAGGTGAATTGGCTAGCCCGGAGCCCGGATTGGATAAAAGGCCGAAATGAGCAAACCCGTTATATGAAGCAGTAAATATAAGAAGATATGGAGGGTAAATTTCAAATTTATGAAAATATATATAAGATTTAATCAGGGTAAATCGACCGAAGGTTTCAGAACTCGGTTAAAAAACCAGAGGATGGTAAGGAGATTGTCCTCGTAGTCGTAGAAGGACAAGAACGAACGCAGAAACCAGGAAGTAGACTCCAATCAAATCACGAATAAGCTCTGTGGTGAAGCGAGAGACAGAGATGGAGACGAACGCTAGAGAAACTCGACGAAGGAAAATCGTTGACAGAGGGGCAGATCGTCTCGCCCTCATCATGGGCAAAGCCCAAGATTTACCATCAATTCCAACACCAGCATCAACACAAACACAAGCACCATGTTTACTACCTAGTCGCCATACGTATACAGCCTCATCACCACCAGTGCTTTTCGATCAAGATCTGCGGGGAACTCTCTTAGCCGAAAGCAACGGTACCCTTTTTCGCCTTCTCTGCTAAATGTATATACATATAATTCGTAAATCTGTTATCTATGCTTCTAGTATTTTCTTTAATTTTCTGATTTCTAGCCTTTTTCTGCTACTTCCTTGGTTTGAAATTCTGGTCGAAATTCAATATCTTGAGTTCGCTGTTTGATTTTATAAACGTAAATAAATTAATGATAAATGACGGACGAACCGGAAATCTTTGGCCAGCTTCCTGTTTCATCTCCTTGATTGATTTCCATTTTCTAATTAGTTTGTTGAAATTGATTGTATTTGAAATCTTTCAGAAATTAACGCATTTTTCTATTGATATTTATTATCGTGATATTAATTCTTCATCTATGAAACAAGGGAAGGGAACCGTGTGAAACCCAAAGAAAGTTATCTTATTTTCTGCATTATATAAATGTTCTTTTGTTTTTCTTTTTCTTTTCTCCGATAGGCACCATATAGCTTAACTATAAACAGAAAAATGGAAACAAGGTAACTGAGGGAAGACATTTTAAATTTCACTTTATCGTATCCAATCGATTGAGGAACAAAACTCTAAACCTGGAAGAGGTACAAGAGTCAGTCTGCGCTCTGAGTTTTCCTGCCAAATCAATCAGAAGAACTACACGTAATCCTTAAACCATAGGATTACAAAGAGAACATCCATAAAAAGTTTTGCTTATAGCATCCCAATGGGGGAGAAATTACATTCTAAAGATAGTGAATACCACTGGAGAGGAGTTCAAATGGGCCACTAGTTTCTTATAATCATGTTAAACCAGGATTTCTTTACATCATCAATGGAAAACTGCACAGTTTATTTATTTATCTTTTGATAAGTTACTGCACAGTTTTTTTGTTTTTTTTTTATTTGCTACCAGGAAAACTGCTCAGGGGATGGTAAAGTTACAGGGATAAGGTTTGTGGTTACAAATGAATAAGATGAATTCTAAATCATAAATGGACCCTAGATAAGCGATGTCATCAATGGGTTATTTATCCAGCTTCCAGCCTTCCACATTAAAAACTTGACAGTTCCTTTGTATAGATAAGTGACTCATCCAATTGGAGATACAGGGTCAAGCCTATCTTGACTCCACCATCTTCACTTGACAATGACCTTGTAAATATTGGACTGATGTCAGATAGCTGGTTCAATCAGAGAATTAAAAAATGTTGCACCAAGTATCAAGCATCGAAAGATAATCAACGCATACGCTTTCCTAATTGTAATATGACTATTGGGTTCTAACTTTCTACTTGATGTTCAAGTCTTCAAGAGTTTATGGGAGTGGGTTAATCCTTGTCAGCAGATGCTTTTTACTTAGTAACTTTTGCATGATTCCTGAAACAAGGAAGTGGTACCATACAAGGGGATGTTAGCCTTTGGGTGCAATATATTTGCCATTATGAGCTTTTAATGGGTGGCTTTGTCAAGGTTTTGGAGCTTTATGAAACAGAGTGCTAGAATTCCAGCAGCAAGGTAATAAAGGTTAAGTGTAAAGATTTTTGGATTCAAGCACAGCTTATAACTCCATATCACAAGTTCACAACTTGGCTTAAGGTTCATTCATACCTCAGTCCTTGGGAAACCATGATTAGAGCATTGGATTTATGATCAGTATTATACCTACTCCAACAAAGAAAAGAAAATATAATGATGCTATTTAACCGAAATTTCCTGTTTTAATTCAACATGTTGGGTGCAGCCTTGCTAACTGTTTACATGGATTTTCCAGAAGTTAAATTGCAATTCTGAATGGTGGGATGTTTTAGATAACAAATATGGTTGTCTTTCCAGTTAATTAAACTCTTGAACCTTTCTGCCTACCGTAAAAAAGTAACACCAAAACTGTTATTTTGTAGATCGTTGTTTTCTAGGGAACATGCATTTGCATCAACTATGTTCCTACCACCATCAAGTCCAAAACTTGGGACTAGATAGAGGATCCATAGCCATAATGCAGTCTGGGATCCAAACCCACCATCATGGAGACTAACTAGGCCAAAAGTTAGCTAAACATGACGGCAAATATGTTTTTTGATCTATATACTTGGATGATGAAGTTCCATTAAAACTCTTTGAAATCTCTGAAAATAATACATAGAGAGTAGTTGGGCTTAAAATCATATGCACGATGACCTTTGGTGTACTCCCTCTCTCTATTAGGTGGCATTATGTAGTGGCGGGTCCTGATCATGTACATAGCCAATATGTGGCAAGTTGTCCCTCAAACTGCAATTATGTCTTGTTCCCCCAATTTTTGAAACTTGCAAGTTTCATAACTTCTTATTAATAAGATGTTATTGCTGTCTTGCTCTACTTTCTTTACTACTATGCCATGTTATTGCTCATAAGTTTGTTTGGTAGTGCAGATGCCCCCCGTGGTGAAGATAATGCCTTGCCAAAGCATGAGACTAGTAGTGAACCTTTACAGAGTGATACTCCTAAAGCCATTAAGAAAGCAGAACCCCAGTTGCGCAAATGTGCAACAAACATTGGATCCAGAAAACTTCCTCTGGATGTCATCAAGGAGATTGAGCCAGCCATGGACTCACCAACAGCTCAACATTCATCCAATTCTATGATTGATACTGAACCACGTGCAGAAACACAGCTGCATCACACCAATAAGATTATCTTGAAAGAGATCAGCTCCTCCATCTCAGCTTCTGAGGTTAACCGTCTTCTCTGTTCTATCACCATAGCCCTTCTTGTTGTTCTATCCCATCTCAACATTCCTCTATTAAGCAGTGGCTTTGTAAAGAGCATTATCACCTTCAGACCTCTCTACTTAATCTTGTTGACAGATGCAACAATTGTGTTTGCACGAATTCTTTCTCTGAAACAAGGATGCACTGAAAACCCTAAGGAAGAAGAGCAGAGATCTTCAGAAGACGGATTTGATTGGATAGCGGATGTAGGTAAGGCCTTGGAGATTGTGTTGGTGTTACAGAAGGCAGCTGCCGCAGCATTCCTGGATTGCGGTGTCTACGTGGTACTTGTTGTCTGTGGCCTTCTTCTGGTTCATTGATGGTAATACAAGTTTGACACCTGTAGCTCACCCTGTGGAGAACTGAAGATATCAATTGACCCTTTCTCATTTCTTCCTTTTGTAAGCGTTATTAAATGCAAAGTGTATCAGTTGCCCTCACTGGTTGATTTCCTTACCACTCACCCTAACTTACAAGGACCTGGAGGGGGGTGTTTTTGCTTTTATTTTCATCTTATCCTTTTTAATTCTTGTGGTTTGCATTGCATATTTGATCATTCTAGTAAACTTGATCCTAATTCAATCTCCTTTTTTGTGTAATTTCCATCACCCTGGCTTTTGTTTACACCATGTGGAATAAATTCAGATTGCTGAGGACAGTGGACTGCTCATCCGGCAACCAGCTGATGGTTGGTATGGTTTGACTAGGCTTAGGCTGCGTTTGGAATCTTTTGCTTTAGTGCTTGTGAAAGCGAGAAATGACAGCAAAAACAAAGATTCAGGGGGTGTTGGTTAAAAGCTGATTCCAGCTGGTTTGAAAATGCACTGCAGAGGCCATGGCATGTTTGGAAATGAGTTATAACTGGTTCCAAAATGCCAAATATTGTGAATTTTGGAACATACTTATTTCCTGTGTTACATAATGCACCGCACCTATTTTCGATTGTTAAACATTGATTTGGTATAAATAACTTTTGTTAATTCCAATGTCTTGGAAACACACCACACCAAGAGATGTGTGTGTGTTACAGAACTTAAAATTTCAAACATGCCAGACTTAAATAACCTAAAAACGCACCACACTTGTTTGATATTACAGTACTGATGTGATGCAGAACTCAATTTCATGTCCAAGCATACCACGGTTAGTCTTTGGCCATGTTTGGGAGTGTTTAAAAATAGATGTTTATTTGAAATAATTGTTTATTTGGGTCGGGATTACATCATTAAGCACTTATTGGTGTTTAGAAAATAAGTCCAAAATAAGTGTTTATTTTAACAATAAGGGCTTATTTTTCAAGTCTAAATTTTTAAGTGCTTATATAACAAGTACTTATTCAATTTTTTTCTTCCAAAATTATCCCTAGTTGAAATTTAAAATACCACTTATAAAATCATTCTTAATTGAATTTGATAAAGTACTAATGTAAAAGTATTTTTATAAAAGTGCTTTTATAAAATTATTTCTATAAAAATGTTTTTATAAAAGCACTTTCGTAAAAGTATTTCCATAAAAGTGATTTTATAAAAATATGTCAAAACTTCGAATAAAGGAACATTTAATCGTAAGTCACCAAAATCAATGATACAGTTAACCATTCATGAGTCCAACTAGAAGTTGCGCCCTATTCATTTTTTGGAAGCTACTTACTGCGTAAATGCACTTACTCGAGTAAGTATATTTATTCATATTTTTTTATTTTCTAGGTAAATAAGATAATAACCATTTTAACTATAAAAATCAATTATTAAAGGGAATAACTTTATTCCATCTGATAACTTACCCACTTGGGAGATGGATGGATAAGTGACATCAGGAAAAATGAATTTTTGATAAACACTACATAAAAAAGAACATCAGTATCTTGTTCAATGGAAACCAAAATCCTGTTGACTTTCCCCTATATCAAAAATCCCAAAGAAAAAGAAAAGAAAAAACAGACCCTTTGAATTAGATCGATCAAAATAACCACAAACCACCCACCCCCCACGAGAAAAAGTATCGATGTTCGACTTCGACCCCTAAACGTGTAGACTCATTTTTATAAGAATATAATCAGACAACCGAGATGAAACTGACACGAGTAATGAAAGGTAAACAACGAAAAACAGAAGGGTTCAATGACATACAGCAAGATAGGCATCCTTCTCAAAAAAGGAGGAAAAATATATCATAGCCTTCAATTTTAAGAGACGACAAATCCTTTAGGCTTTACATCAACACAAGCCTCACCCCATTGTTAACATAACATCCATTAACCATTCAAGCTGGCATATAACAAATATCCATCATCCGGCCGAAACTTTATTCAAGACTACTGTGGATAGGAAGGCGGATAAGTAGGCTGAGAGGCAGCACCATAATCGTAAGCACCATAACCAGTCTGTCCCCCATATGATCCACCAGCCCGAACACCACCAGCACCCATATCTTCAGGCTTGAATGCATAGGGCTGAGGAAGTGGTGCAGTTGGGTTTTGGGAATGAGCTCCATATGGTGATGCAAAAGATGTTGGAGGAGGACCCTCGTAGGCATTCTGACTTGGATAATTGTATGCTGCCACCCCAGAATATCTAGTTGGAGGTGCAGGTCCAGTGGGTGGTGGACCCCTACGGCCATAAGATGGGTAAGAATTTGAAGGCCTGCCTGCTTTGGATGGGCGGAAGTTAGGTGGGCCACCACCACTGCCCCCTCGGCCTCTCTTGTTTTGAGGTTTGCTGGTTGCTGCCATGTTCTTCTTTCTGTCCGCCTTGGCCTTCTCCAACTGAGTGAGTCGCTTCTTTAGGCTGTCAAGTGTGAACTCAGCCTCAAGCTTGTGATCTTCGACGCATTTGATGATAGCTTTAATTGAGTTCAACTCTAGCACACTAGCTTCTTCCTGATGGACCAACAAAACATGCAACAAGGTATTGATAAGCACAATATAATTGACAATTAAATCTTTTATTAAGCACTAGAAGATGATGAAGAATTGAAGCTAATTACAGTTAGATGTCAACATAATGTCCATGCAGCTGTGTTACAATGACAGCAAAAAGTAGAAAATTTTGGCGCATTTATACATATATATTGATGTGCATACGTACTATAAGCACAATGCACATGCAGGAGTGAATATTAAATACTTCCTAATGCACTAGAATGTGATGGAGAATCAAGATTAAATGCAATTGGCTGTGGATGTACAGTTGCAGCTGCGCTATAATGTCCATTCTTCAGTATCGTAGTGGCATTTCTTCTGGAGTTCCTAAGATAAGACTTAAGCAGAGAAAGAGGAGGAAACCGTTCAGTTAAACCAGACTCTGAAGCAAAATATATGGCCTCGATCTCCTTGCCATTCTTCACCAATTCATCAATTATATCTGTGAATAAAATGCAGAAACATTTATTAAGAAATACACTCAGAATAAACAACTTCATGAAATACAGAGCATTGCATTACTGGGAAAAAAATTAGGGCAGAATCCCATTCCATGGAAAACAGAGAAAAGAATTGATGTTATTTTTTTTACTTGTGATAAAGTGTTCATTAATCATTTCTCATTTAAAAGCATTTTCTCCCTCATCAACAAACTATGTACAGCACATATGTAATCTTCCAAGTTCTAACAAACCAAGGAAATCTCATGGAATTCCAAGAGTTCACATCCTCTGCACCCACAATGCAGAAGATTTTCTGCAACCACAAATGAAAAAAGGCCACACCACTCCATCTTATCTATCATAACTCAACAGGAGTCTCTCTCTCCCCCCCCCGGCAACCACAGCCGCCCGCGGCTGAGGACGAGAAACATTTCTCTCTCTTCTCTGTTGTTTCTCTCTCGAGATTCTCTCTCTCCCCCTCCTTCATTCTCCTTCAGTAGCCATCCTCACCGCCTGAGATTCTCTCTCACAGATGACAAGAAGGCCATTCTCTTTGAATCCCAAAACCAATTGCTGTGATTGGAATCTCATCACAAAACTAATGAGTGAAGCCAAAAAATTATTGGTCAACAAGGGCATCATCACTCCTCTTGTCTTCATGCTTCATTCTAAAACAAGATTACGAGGCCATCGAAGCTGCTCTTTTTGCTTTACTCAAGTCTCACCATTCATAGCCAAAGGTACGTTACATACATTATATTTCTCTCATATTCAGTTGAGTTATTCACCAATCCATTCATGGCCTTCCTTGTTTATTTTCTGAAACTATTTTTCCACTTTAATTTCTACTTATTCCAGGAACAAGATCCTTATTGCAGAATCTGGTGCAGTACCAACTATTGTGGATCTCCTCTGACAAAAGAGCAGCAGCGTGCCGACTGAACTTGCTATGACTGCTCTGTTGATGCTCTCATCCTGCACCAAGAACAGGAGTGTCAGAGGTTGCAGCAGCGGCACTGGTTGGAGGGTTGGGTTGCCAATTCCAAGGAAGAGAGATGAAGAAACAGGAGAGAGAGAGAGAGAGAATTCTGGCGGTGCAACCAGTAAGGTAGATGGTGGTAGATCATGAGAGGGAGAGCGGAGGCAGGAAGAGAACGAGAGATAAAGAGGGGAACAGGACTTTCGAATCCAGCCAAAAAGGGGATTGGACGGGTTTTACCTTTTAACAAATTTTAAAAGCCTTTGGAGTCCAAACACTCGTTAAGTCTGGACTCCATTAGTCCTAAAATCCATAAGTGATATGGTGTTTTCTCATTCGCGGATGCAAAAAAATTTCTGCATCCCGGATGCAGATGGTGTGAACTCGAATTCTAAAATGAATATCTTCTAGGTTCCTACGTAAATCAGATACTAATTCACATCTCGTTGCAAAGCACAATATATTACTCTGCTGTAAAGTAAGATTCTTGTATTCTTAAATCTTAATTAACACAAGTAAAGAGGTGGACTAGTGGTAATTAAGCAATATATAGAAATAAGTGGTCACGGATTCAAGTCTCATCAAATGCATTTTAAATTTTCAATTATTAAAGGACCCAGGCAGTTTCATGAAACCAGACCGGTTCACCAGTTAAACCGTCCAGTTAGCCGTTTTCCTCGGTCTTTTATCAAAAGCAGTTATTGGGTATGACCGAACCAGTCGAGATCCAAGGTCATGGTTCAACTGATCCGACTGTCCAATCTGGTCTGGTTTTCTAAACACTGGTAAAAGCATACAAGTACAGTGATGTTCCCGATTTGCAGCTGCAAGGGCTTTGAGGTGGGTTTGAGGACCAATTTTGTGAGGAGGAAATCTGACTTCCATACAGTACATGGACGCCAAATCAGTATTGGTACTTCCAACTTTCAGTACAAATTCCATAACCAACATCTTGTCCAGTCATGTCCTTGCCATATCCGGATATCATGGCTTCTGGAAACCCTCAACTGGCCACACATGTAGGAAGCCATCATGTTGCCTGGACTGACACATTGTCTCACCCTAACAAAATAATAGGGGCAATCATATTTTGATGGAATGACCCATTATCATCAACTCCACATAAGGACAAAATAAGCATTAAACTTAGAAGACCTCTCCCCCTACTCCAGATCAAAATTTTAATTGTCCTACCCTACTACTGCCTCCAAAAGAAATTGCCCCCACCATTATCCACTCACCCAGCATAACTTATGCTCAATCTAGGGCTTTTTTCTTCAAAGTTCCTATCCAACTGGTAAATCATTCCCTGTATCCCATTCTCCTACCCATTCAATTGTCCTACATACCCTCTAAACCACCCCCTTTAGATGTTCACTTGTCCCACAGTAGTCTAATATCAAGGCATTCCCCAATTAGATCATAATCATGAAGGTGGTCTCCACTTTAATCCTCTTAAGTAGGGTTTCTTTCTAGCATGCCTCTACATGTGAATGAATAGAAGTAACAGGGGGAACAAAAGAAAAAAAAAAACTCCACTAGTGCCATGTTTGCCTCGAACTACTGATCCCAAGTCCAAATAAACACTTATGGAGTGATTCCTGGATGGTTGTTTCAAATCCATGGCCCCATGCTATGCCTTAGAAGATGACCCTTGATAGAGTGATTTGGTACCAGAACAGGATTGGTGTAACTAATCCCAAATGGTTGGATAAGCTTATTGAGTTCATTATCAATTTTATAAAGTTGAATTTACAACAGATAAGAATACAGCCAAGCCAATTGATGATGGCTCAGTTGGTAGGATCTCTGACTCTCGGAATAGAGACCTGGGATCAAATCCCACTGCCACCAGAGCTGGGGGGTAAGGGAGGGGGATGGACAACATTGTTTTAACATAATATGATGTCCCTTGAAGCAACATTGTGTAGCCCCTTGAAGCAAAAAAAAGGGCAAGTGTATGAATATAATATGATGTCCAACATTGTTTTAACATACAGAAGACTGATTGTTTAATACATGGACAACCACCAGAATAATATCATAACCCAAGATCCAACTAGTGTATCATTCAAAAACATCCTTAAAAGAGACAGTCGTAGCATAAAGATTTAGGCAGGAGATCTGTCTTAATTATCTACACACCAGCTACAAGGTTGTTGCTGCAGACGGTGGATATTAAAACCTTTCTAGGTGGAAGCCACATAAGGCTATTAAGCAATATAAGGAGCCCACAAGACAGAAAAAGAAACTTTAGAGTAATGTCATTGTTTTGGGTCATTAAATGGTGCCCCTAGAACAGGAAGGCAAAGCTAATGGCACCTCCAAGGAAAACCAAGCCACAGTGCCTCTATATACCCCAAATGGGTATGTGCTTAGTATAAAGATCCTTCAAGAACTTACCTGTTAAAAGCAAGCAGCATATGCATGCAATACAGGTACACTATTAGATCATTAAGAGAGAACAGAATGTAATTGGATTGGTTGGATGAGGCAAAGCCATCACCCTCATATTTCTTGAAAGCCTACATCTATCATAATATATTAATAAATGTAAGGACCTATCAGATTTTTCTTGACAAGAAAAGAGGTCAACACAGACCACCACATGTAGATTACTAGATGTTACAGGGGTTCCTTTTATGTGTTTAAGTTAGAAAGCTAAATACTTTCTTAATTTCACACACGAAAAAGGTGAAAAGGTAACGACCCTGTGTAATGCTATTACTGGCCTAGAACAACTGAACAAAATAATGGACATGTTGCAGTTGAGGAAGTAATTCAAAGTGAAAAAGTAAAAGAAGAAAGAGGGCATGCCAGTGTAATAGTTCAGGATCAAATCAGACTTGCTTTAATCTCGTATTTAAGTCCTTTTTTGTTACTCATCCACCTGCTTACATTCCTCAATCAAGGCTTTGAAGGCTAATGACCCTTTATGCCTAAGATATCAACTTCAATAGCCTTTAATCTCACCCCAATACCCCTGGATATTTATAGTCTATATCAGAAGCTTCTTTTCCATCAACAACATTGACTGGATAGGGGTGAGCAAGAAAAACCGAATAACCAAACCGAAAATCCAGTTAACTGAACCGGTTGGTTCAGTTTCGGTTTGGTATTTAAAAAACCATAGGTACCGGTTCAGTTTCGGTTAACCAATACAGAAAACTGGCGGTTAACCAAACCAATCAGTATACATCTATGTCTATATATTTTATGTATATTTGTGTATATTATATATATATATATATATATATATATATATATATATTATAAATTAATAAATGTGCATAATATATAATGTATAAATATATAAAACCGAAAACCAACAATTAACACATCGGCTTCAGTTCGGTTTCTATTACCAGTTTTCCAGAAACCAATAATACCAGTTCGGTTTCAAAAATAGGCCCACAGTTCGGTTAACCGAATCATGAGCACCCCTACTAGACTCTGGTTGAAAAAATTACACACAAGGTAAATCAGTGTATACAAATCCTATGTTACATTTGATGGGGATTTAGTATCATATTTACATTATAATTCTAGATTATGTTCAGGTGGAATGCATTACCATATAAATATTGGACATTTTCTACTTCCAAGCTTACAGCAAGCCAGCAACCAGACAATTATGGTCTTTTTTTTACTAGATAAATTTGGGTGGCATTTGGCAAGTCTTTTTGTGCAGTCTTTTGGGCTTTGGCAAGCTCAAAAGACCAAATATCGGTCTTTTTTTGTTTGGTAACCAAAAGTCGGAAAGATGAGAAGATGCATGTACGGAAAGACCCGAAAATACTGAAAATGTCGAATTTTGGGAAGTTTCAAATAAAGCTTCTGGTCTTTCTGTGTGATATATAGCCTCTACATGCATTTTTAAAAGCCCGATAGACCAATCCACTTACCAAACAGTCTTTATCTTTAAAGACAACACCCCAAAAGCTCAATATGTCTTGTGGCCATCTAGGCTGCTGGAAGATCTTTTTAAAAAGACTAGCCAAACGGCACCTTGATTAGCAATCAATCTGAAACCAAATGTCAAGGAGACACAACTATAGTGATAGGATGGGTACGAGTAGATGTCTGCCCTGGTGCTCATATCAGTCCACCTAATTAGAGAGGCTTAGGCTATGGCTTCAGTTTACTAGGTTGATCACCTCATTAATCTGGAACTCTAGGTCAGTCTATAACCTAGCTAATGACGAGGCCTGGAAGACATTGCCTACTGTGGATGACCCCCTAGCACTTCTTTGTACGAGTGTCTTTGCATTGTCCCATGTAAGATCTAAGGTTGCAAATCTATGAACTGCCTTGCCCCATCTAAAGTCTAGCGTCTAGGTTGAGCACCTTATCCATCTAGAACTCTAGATCAGTTCTAGACAACATGGAAAAGGAAAGGCCTCAGAGGTACTGGGTATTATGGAGGATTCTCCATTAGTAAAACTTGTATGTATTAAGTGGACTTGCCTTGATACATCTAAGGTCTAAGATTGCATATAATATAACTCTGTCATCAATAATAACAATTTAAGAAAAGTGCTTGTATTCAGACAACATAACCTAGGGGTAGCTCCACCAGGTTACAAGGTTTACAAATGTCAACTACAATAGTTTGTTCATGTGACATAGGAGAACAGTAAATAGACTAGTGAGAAGTGATAAGATGACAGTTGAGGCACTAAAAGAAATAGGGAAAGACTAAAAAGGATGTGGATTGAAGTAGTGAAGAAATCTGTGCGGATTCACAGTTAAACAGGAAATACGGCCCTTGATATGGTAAAATGGTGCAAATGAATTCACGTAAACAACCCAAAAAAGTTCCTAAGGCTTTGTTGAGCTAAATTGAGCATATGCTCAATGGGTACGTGGTGTACTATTATACCATGAAAGTTAGTTGCAAGTTGAAAATGTGCATATACTCACACGCTGACAACCACAATAGACAATAAAAATACGTAAAATTTTGATATAAGAAAAGGACAATAAACAGTGATAAATATGGCAATTAATATATGATTTGCAGATGATCTGAAATTGATAGCTAATAGTAATAGACTACAGTTGCAAAGAAAGTTTTGAAATGAAGAAATCCCATGATGATTTCCCTACTAAACAAAATATATCAAGAAGTAATAATAGTAACTTTATTTGAATGGGCAGAAAGAATAAACAGCGCTCGAAACCCAGACCTCCCATTTTCTCCCCAAATCCTAATGAAGCAGCAAGCTTTGGCATTTCCTTTCTCGATGGGAAATCCAACACCAACTTCCTTAGGAATTCTTCTTCAAACCGTGACCGCAGCCCAAACCCAGCAACCAACTGAAGAAACATCGTAGCTTCTGCAGGACCAAACCCGCCCGATTCCTTATCATCCATCTTCGCTTTCCATGCTTCCGCAACTCCATATGCTCTTTCACCAATGCTTGAAGCCACAACCGGTGCTTTCTCACTAGAATCAGTGGCAGGAAAATGTGCCTGAAGCATCATTCCACACGCCCAACGACGGTCAGGAACCCCTCCCTTTGCAGACTTCTGGTTAATAAAATCCTCCATGGCATCCAAAATTAGACGTGCAGGGTCAACTGATTCAGCAATCGACAGAGATATTTCCGCCCTTAGTAACACCGGAGATTCCTTCCGTTTCGCCACCAGAAACCTCAACAAGCCGGGGGAATCCATCTTCCGGCAATAAGACCTGAGAGCTTCCGCCAGACCCAGATTCGAAGTTCCTGTTTTCTCGAATTCCGCAAGGGCAGCTTCCTTCTGCTCCTGAACACGGGCAATGGCAGCCGATTCACGCTCCGGAATCGATTTCTCCCGCTGTTCCAAGGCTTCTAGTGTCTTCTTGGTCTCCGAATCCAGGGCTTCGATCTTCGAATCTAGAGCTTTGGATTTTTGGAGGAGAGATTCTTCCAAGGAAGAGAAATGGCTTGACAGCTTCTTCCATATTTCGGTGCAGTTCGTTAGAAGTGTCTTTCGTGTTTCGAGTGCTTCGAAAACCTTCTGAAACCGATCTTTGTCGATCACTTCGGTCGCCATGACCAAAGCCACAACGCGTTCACTGCTCATCCAAAAAAAACCCTAAACCCCTAATAACTGTCTCATCTCATGGATAGACAGGTTAGAAACCTGAAACCCGTCCGATATTAATCTCTTGGCAAAATTACTTAAACCGTCTCTATTTTCTGATAATATTTAAAACCCCCTCCATTTTGATCTCCATACAAACCGCCTTCCATATCTTAAATAAACATTCCGTTAATTATCTTAACAGAAAACGCTGAAGTAATGATTTAAAACTTTTAAAGTTCCATATAGGGACACGGGATACACCCCGAATGGGGCAGGAACAGGGATGATTTTTCCCTCACGAGGATGGGGATGGAAAAATTTTCATCTCCATTAATGGGGACAGGGAGAACATTATAAAGTTCCATACGTTGTATATGTATATATGTGTATATATATATATTAATATTTTAAAAAATATAATTGAATATGCTTGAATCTTTTTCAATAGTATTATAAATTTTAATTATTTTATATTTATATTTTAAATAAAATAAAAAACAAAAACAATATAGTTAACATTATAAAAAATCATGGGGAATGAGGATCCCCACAGGGATGGGATAACTTTGTCCCCCTTAGCGGGGATAGGACAGGGACGAGGATGGAGATTTTCACGAAAACAGGGATGGGGAGAGGCTCCCCGTCCCCACCATGCCCCATTGCCATTCCTAGTTCCATATTTACCTATTGCTTTGTATTGGATGAAGATTTATCCAATCTATGCCACTTAGGTGGCCTGAGCTTTCTTCTTTACCCCAATAATATAACTCTGAGCTACTCTTTTTTGCTCTCTCATGAAACCATGTCATCAATGTCTTCTCTTTGTTAAGTGCCAACATACCTCTACTAGTTAAAACCTCCCCCACAAATGAGTCACTTTGTTAATCATTCAGCTATTGCTACATTTCACCGCTACTGTAAACCATTTAGTTTTTATCAACATACCTCTCCACTGTTATTGTTACATTCAGTTGATTTAGGTGATCACAGACTCACAATAGCGGTGGAAGAAGGGTTGTGTTCATTGCACCGGTTTTGGCGTTTTGCTACTGCAAAGGTATGCTATTACATTCAGCATACCTGTGTTAGTTGGGACGCATCTACTGTGATTGTCCATTCGAGCGATCATTGTAGATGCAAAGTGGGTAATAGAGATTATTCAAATGGGTCGGATCTTTGCTATGTTCGTCTCAAATCCGACCCATTTCTGTTACTTACTGTGTTACCATGTTTGTTTTGTTATTGTGTTCTTCAATAATTTTTGTTTAATTACTTTAATCCCAAACAAACTTCTTCAGCTAGGTTTGTTTACCATAACTACAGTAAACTATTTAACTAAAAATTATTAATTTATTTAATTAAAAAATTTATTATGTTGAAAGTAATTATGTTTTCCATTCACTAATATTTTCAGTAGTTTTAAGCTTTTAATAAATTTTAAAATAAATATAATATTTATTAATAGAGAATGTTGAATATCTTTTCTGAAATTTGCTAAATTTTTTCAAAATTTACAAAAATTACGAAGATCACTAGAAATTACTGGAATTTAAAATAATTACTTAAAATTTATTTTGAAATTATTTTTAAATCATTACAATAAATTAAAATAATTATTGAAATTTAAAATAGTTATTTTGAAATAATTACTGAAATTTTAAAATAAATACCATATTTATTTCTTATGGTATTTATGTAATTAATATTAATTAATTAATTAACAATCTTCTCTTTGGACCCAAGTAATTACACGTATAATATATATCATGATTTTAGGAATCCAACCCAATATAATAGGAAACCAATCCCTGTATAGTAGGAAATCTTTCCACATTTGAAATTCTACAGTCTATTCTCTCTATTTATCTTATACTCAACACAGCAGGAAAGGTTTGAGTTACAGCTCTATCTAATCTCCAATTCCAATATTCTCAATTTCGTCCCCATAACATCTTTTCACTCTGCTGTACTCTTTCCTTCTCTTTATCTTTCTTGCTCTCTTTCAGCAGTTGATGGACAGAAGGTAACCGGGTAAATCCAATGGAGGGAAGACGTGCCATAGCTGATGCTACATTTGCATTTTGTCATCTTATTCTTCTGTTCTTTGGAGTACAAGTTAGGATATGTTTCATTTTATTTTTTCAAAAGGTTTTCTGGTGAAGTTTTAAAGATTTGGGAGTTTTTGGGGTTAATTTTTCTTGGTGCCATTAGAAGGTCAGTATTTTTTTTCTTTTTGGTCTATGATCTTCTGTTTTTTTAGGTAGGCCATGCTAGGATCAAAGAGAAGCTAGTTAAATTAAATTAACTTGGGTACCTTAACTAATTTGCTTCATTAGCTTAAATGAATTAAGTTAATTAATAAAAAGTAATTAATTAGTAGTTAGTTAACTTTGTGTATGCCTAACCTGGGTTATTTAATAATTTACTTTTATTGGTTAAATCATCAACTTATTAATTTTCTTCCTATATATAAAAATGATACAAATTAATAGAAGTATTTTGATATTTTTTATTTAAAAAGAAAGTAAATACAAATTAATACATGTTTAATTTTAGTTTCAAAATTAAATCTTATAATTTGATAATGATACTATAATTTTTTTATAAATTTTAAAAAAGTAATAAAATTAATAGTTTTACATTCAATTATTATTATTTTAAAATCCTTTAATCCATTTAAAATAATAAAAACTATTACTAAATAAATTTTTATTAAAAATTAAAACAATGTAATAAAAATAAAAACTAATACGATCAGGAATGTCACGGTCCTCTTTTTTGAGGTGCAACTTGGGTGGGTTGGGTCGGATAAAGGGTCAACCCAATCCCGTCTCAAACCTTGAGCTTAGGCTTGGCCCAAACCAAGGTTAAGCTTGAGTATACCAACCTAGGTGCAATTTCTACCCTACCCAATGGGTACCCACCCCAATGAGACAGGTTTTTGCTTGAATGATGGGTTTTGGGGAAAGTTGGGTCTTGGTAGAGGTGTAAATCGGGTTATGCCACCCGTGCCCCAACACGAACTTGGACCGGACCGGCCCGGCCCAACACAACGGTCTACGGGCCGTGCTGTGCTTGGGATTTTAGGTCCATTGGCCGGCACGGCACGACCGAGCGGGCCGTGCCACCCACAGCCCGGCCTAGCACGGCTCGTAGCACGGCCCATATATTTTATATATATTTAAATATATTTCATATATATTTTATATATATTATAATTATATAATAATATATAGTATATAATATATTAATAAAAAAAATATTTATTTTAATTTTATTATACTAATTTATTTAATTATTGCATATATAAGCAATTTTATACACAAAAATCATATAAAATTAAAATTTTAAGTTTTTTTGTCAATTTTTTTAAATAAATAGCTTTGGCCCGATACACAGCACGGCATGACCAAGTGGGCTGTGGGCATGGCCCATATATATATTTTTTATATATATTTTTATATATATAATAATATATAGTATATAATATATTAATAAAAATATATTTATTTTAATTTTATTATACTAATTTATTTAATTATTGCACATATAAGCAATTTTATACACAAAATTCATTAGGCAGGACGACACAACCCGTGATGGCCCGCAGGCCAGCACGACACGGCCCACTTTACACCTCTAGGTCTTGGGATTCTACAACCCATACGTTACAAGTAGGGCATGGTACTATGCTAAACCCGACCCACCGATCCCCAACCCACATATTATTGGAAAGCATATAAACTTTTGTATACTAGGCGTTGAATTTAATAATATTTTGATTTTGATGTGAAGGATAATTGATAGTTTATGTGTTTTTTTTTATGTTTTAATCAAATATTTGGAAACTTTGTTATTTATTTATGTTACTTTACTTATTTATTAGTTATATATAACAAAAAATAATAGGAAATTAGATGTGGGTTCTAAAGCCTATCACCCCTATCCTTGAATGTGGGGTCAATGAGGGTTTTACATTTTCATTTGCGGAGAGGGTTTGGATCCTCAAAATCCAACCCAATATGGGTTTTGTTGTGGGTACCGGTTAGGAGGTTTAGGGAGGTAGGTAGAGTCTATAATTTACAAAGCCTTCTTGAACCCACTCTGTTGCCATCCCTACTTGGGCTAAGCTTGGACTTGGGCATATTGATCTTTGTAGCTCAATTTCCATATAAAGTAGATCGATAATATATGTATAACACAAAATGTTGGGCAGACTTAGATTGTATCAGATCAATACCCAAGCCCTTAACCTAAGCCTACTCCAAGTTTAGTTAGGCCTAGCTTTTTGGCCCAAGTCTAGCATGAAGTTCAGAAACTCAAGCCCGACCTATGCAAAAGCTTTGGTTGAGTAGCGTTGGGCTTGGATTGGGTCCACCCAACTTTCACCCTTAGATCCTTTTGCCTCAAATTATCTTAGCAAAGCTTGTGCATCATACGGGTCCCCGCTAATTACCTCATAAAGGTGGTTTTACATTTGGGTTTCATTTAGGAAGGAGAGAATAGTGTTACATTGATCATGATGTTCCTTTTGCACTCTTTTTTTATATTAATCACTACCTAAGACCCCCTTAATACAACATCACATCAATGGCTCTTTTCTTTGATAATAGCCATATTTGAAACCACATAATCGTTTCATCCAATGCACCAACTAGGCTACCCCTCGTTGGTTTTTGCACATTTACAATAACGGCCTATTAAGGATATCAACCCACGATTACAACATAGTTAAGAGAAATGTGCATTTGTGTAATTATTTGAAATGTGAAGATAGGTTTTTGTGGAGGTTAAAAGTACAAAGGGATGTTTATGCAATTCTACCTTATCTCTCTACCAAGTAGATCCTTATATAGCTAACGTTTATGCAAAAAGTAAATTGTTAATTTATTTTTTTGTGGGTGAAATAATTAAATAATAAAATATTCAAATGTACTTACAGGTATGCTTGGGCGAATTCTCCTTCAAAAAATAAAGTCAGATTTTTAAACGACTTTTTAAAGGTAGCAGTAAGCACACACATGTTTTGAATGTTACAATTCTAGATGATGATAATGATAG